AGAGGGACACTACATACTGCTTAAGGGAACCATACACCAACAAGACATAACAATCATAAATATTTATGCCCCAAACAATGGTGCAGCTATGTTCGTCAAACAAACTCTTCTCAAGTTCAAGAGTCTAATAGACCACCACACCATAATCATGGGAGACTTCAACACACCTCTCTCGCCACTGGGCAGATCTTCCAAACAAAAGTTGAATAAGGAAACTATAGAACTCAATAACACTATTAATAACCTAGACCTAATTGACATATATAGAGTATACCACCCAACATCAAGCAGTTACACTTTTTTCTCAGCAGCACATGGATCCTTCTCAAAAATAGATCATATATTATGTCACATATCAACTCTTAGACAATATAAAGGAGTAGAGATAATACCATGCATCTTATCTGATCATAATGGAATGAAACTGAAAATCAACGATAAAAGAAGGAAGGAAAAAGCATACATCACTTGGAGAATGAACAAGAGGTTACTGAATGATCAATGGGTTATAGAAGACATCAAGAAGGAAATTAAAAAATTCTTAGAGATAAATGAAAACACAGACAGAACATATCGGAATCTATGGGACACATTGAAAGCAGTTCTAAGAGGAAAATTCATTGCTTGGAGTTCATTCCTTAAAAAAAGAAAAAAATCAATTTCTTTTTCAAAGAATGAATATTTGGTATTGTTGATTTTTCTCTATTTTTTTATGTTCTTTGTTTCTCTATTTTTATTTCCTTTGGTTTGCATTGAATTTAACTTGGTCTTATTTTTGTAGTTTCTTACATGGAATATTAAAACATTGTTTTAAAACCACCTTCTCTTTTCCTTCCTCCCCTTCTTCTTCCTTCCCCTCCTCTTTCTCCTTCTTTGTCTTATCATTCTTTGTTACTTCTCCTTCCTTCTTTTCCACTCAGGGTCCCTTTATCATTGAGCTACATCCCTACCCACAACCTGTTTTTTGCTGAGGCTGGCCTTGAACTTTTGATACTCTTGTCTCAGCTTTCCAAATTGCCAGTATTATACGCAAGTACCACCACATTGGATCGGGACTTTCTTCTTTCATAATCATTTAATACTATGCTTTTACCTGTGGACATAGTTTATATCTCACAAGTTTTTGTTTTATTTTAATTTAAATTCAAATAAATTAAGTTCTAATTCCCCTTGTGATTTACTCTTTGACCCATACATGTCTGGGATTATTATTTTTAAATTTTTTAATATTTGTTTTTTTCTAGGTATCTTTCTGTTATTTATTTCTAGATTAATTTTTTTTGTCAGGACATACATTGTATGTTTTAAATTTGTCAAGGTTTGTTATATGGCTCAGAATGTGGTCTGTCTTTGAAAACATTCTGTGTGCTCTTGAAAAGAAGCAATTTTGCTATTTTTGGATGGAATAGTCTATACATGTCAATTGGGTCACGTGTATTGATTCCATTGTCTTCTATGTCTTTACTGAATTTCTGTTTACTTTTAATTTCTGAGATAGGAATTTTGATTTCTCTAAAGATAATGTGGATTTATCTATATTTTTCAACTTCTAATAATGGTTGTGTGTGTTTGTGTGCATGCACACGTACACTCTGGGGATTGAACTTTTAGGGCCTTAGTTCATGCTAAGTGCATGTGCTGTACCACTGAGCTACATCCCCAGCCCAAGCAATTTTAGATTCATGGAGTTTTGAGGTTATATATATTGACAGGTATGTAAATATTTAAGATTAATGTTTTCTTCTTGAATTGAATCCTTTTTCATTATATAATCGTTCTTATTTATCTCTGATAATAATCCTTGTTCTGAAGTTCACTTTTTTTTGATATTAATGTTAGGATTTTAGTTTTATTTTAATTAGTGTTTACATCATACATATTTTTTCTATTCATAGCCACTCCTCCCAGTTTCAAATTTAAAATGATTCAAATGGTTGGATCTTGCTAACTTAATGCAGTATGATAATTTTTGTTTTCTAATTGGTATGTTTTAACCATTTCTATTTAATATAGCTATTAAGCTACTTTGCAGTTGTTTTCTGTGTGTTCTTTCACTTTCTTTTTTCTTGTGTGTTTTGATTATTTCCTTGGCTATGTCACATCTGATGATTCCTTCAGATGAAATTTTTGCTCTATTATTGTTTTTATTTTTAGAATTTTTATTTGACTCTTGTAGATACTCTTTGCTGAAATTCTCCAGATTTGTTCAGATATGTGACTCATTTTTTCATGATAGTCTGATGATTCTTACATCTCTGGGTCTGATTCTCTTGATTGCTTTTCTGTTTGATGGTTGGTTTCCATTGCTTTTTTGTTTCTTATTTTTTATTAAATGTCAGACATCTTGTTTAGAAAATGAGAGGCTACTTAAAAAAAGTTAAATAATATTTATACTCAGAAGTGGGTATTACTGTTCTCACAGAGAGATATATCTGTATGTTCCGTTTTCCAAGGGCTGGTTATCCTTGAAAATCGGATTTCTTGAATGCCCTGTGACCTCAGGATGGATTCTTTGATGGATTAAAGGAAAAATGTGATATTATAGTTTATGTAGCTTTTTCTTTTTTCTTTTTTTTAATGTTATCAATCTCTTTATTTTCATGATGCTTTAGGAGTGCCCAGGTTTAAATTCATTATTTCAGTACGATATACTACTTACAAAGACTTTCCTAAATTCTTTTTTTTTTTTTTGACAATGCCCCATTTATTGTTTTTTTTATTAGTTACTCAAAACATTACAATGATCTTGACATATCATACATTTGATTCAAATGGGGTACATAATCATAGTTTTCCACATGTACAGATTGCAGGATCATATTGGTTATACAGCCATGTTTATACATAGGGCCATACTAGTGTCTATTGTATTGTGCTGCCCTTCTTATCCCCCCTCTTCTCCCCTCCCCTCCCCTCTTATCACCTCTTTCTACCCAATCTACTGTGACACGTTTCTCTAGCTTTTTCTTATTGTTAGTGTGTTGGTGGCAATTTTTTTTAGCTTTTACATCATAGGCAGCAGTGGAATCCCCAAGAATTTTCTAAATTATTTTTGTATACAATAAAAATTATTTCTATAATTTGGATTTATTTTCATTTTGGAGCACATAAGTCATTCACTTTTGCATAAGTATGATATCCTTATTCCATCTGTGAAGATCTTTTTTTCAGTGCAAACTAGTTAATTACGTGTTTTATTTTTGGACCTTTATTTATTTATTTATTTATATGCAGTACTGATATTCGAACCCAGTACTTCACACATGGTAGGCAAGCACTCTACCACTGAGCCACAACTCCGGTTTTTTAATCTTATTTTTTCTATGTGAGATTATTTGTTGGGGGTTCTTTGAGAGATTCATTGTAGGGAATATTCTTATGGGTATGAGTCCCAGAAGGACATTCATCCACTCAAGATAATAAAGATATATCTTAAGAAGGTGCATTGAGATATTGCCCATAGTATCACCTGTACCTCACAAATGTAGGGGTAGAAAGAAAACCAATTTATTCGAAATTTAGTAAAGCTTCTTGAGCTCTGTTGGGAGCCTTCTTTAGCTTCAGTGACCTTATAGATTTCCAAGACTTCTGAGGCTGATATGATGAAGCCCATTTGGGTGCTGAGAGCCAAGCTTTACATGTCCTTGAATTCCACTTCTGTACCCCATCCTTGAAGTTAAAGTAACCTATTATATTTGTAATATGTGCATCTACTTGTGTTTGTTTCCAAAACAACCAGCGGTGCTCTATACTCCATGGTAGCACCTGGAACTTTTACCAAGTTTTCATGAGATCTCTGAAGTCATCAAAAAGGTTAAGTTCTGTGGTGCTTATAATCATATGAAATAGCCCCTGTCCTTAGCTTGAAATTTGGTTGGTCTCTATTCTGTCTATGACAAACCAACAGGAGAGCAGCATGTAGGGCAGTTCTCTACAATCAACTTTGGGATTTAACTCCATTGCACACCTTTCTAGCTTTTTGATCTTGGCAATTAGGTTAAGTGAGAAAATGCCTATAAAATATTTTACAAATGCTTATTTTTTAGCTCTGATTGGTGAAGTAGTGATAAAAAGAGTAGCTATGTGAGCATAGGTGATTACTAAATTTCCTTTACATTTTTTCTAATTTAAAATCTTTGTAGTTGTAGTAAAAATATATAAAACATAAACTTTGCCATATTTAAGTGTATAATTCAGTGGTATTAAGTACATTCACAACATTGTACAACCATCGTTACTATCCATTTCTAGAACACTTTCATCATCTCAAACAAACTCTTTTTGTTAAATTATAATTTACTTCCTCCTAGGCCTAGTAACCTTTCTATCTTTTTGAATTTGCTGGCTTTAGCCTATTCTAGGTATCTCATATTAAATGGAATAATGTGCTATTTGTTCTTCTGTGTTCAACTTACTTCATTGGTATAATTCTTTGTATTTTTAGTTATGTATTAAACATGCTGTCATTTGTTTTCTACTTCAGTAATTGTTTAGAATCAAGTATAATAATTAAAAGCCAATAGGTACTATGTTAATTTAAGGTAATATGTTAATAAAAACTGGTAAATATTATATGAAAGTAGTGAATTCATTTGTTGCTTATGTATGATTATAAATAGGTTTACTTAATTTATTATTAAAAAAACTATTCTTATGTTACATGTACATATATGTTATATAGAAATGCTAGAGGTATTCTGGAATTCAAATCTGGAGGGAGAGTCATTTTATAAGGCAGAAATATGATTGAACCCAGAGATATTTTTACCACTGAGCTACATCCCCAGCCCTTTTAAGTTTTTAAATTTGAGTCAGGGTCTCGCTAAATTGATTAGGGCCTCACTGAGTTGCTGAGGCTGGTCTTGTGCACCACTATGACCAGGCAGAAATATATTTTAAGTGACCACTTGTAGAATACTTGCCAAAGTAAGTTAAAATTCTGATGCATTGTTTTGTACATCATATTTGACTTGAAGAACTTTATTTCTTTCTCTTTTTAGAATTCTAATTCTCAGATGGATTTAAGCACTCAGGTATCTGATGATGATATTAATGAAATAATTCAAATAGATGGGACTGGTGATACATCTTCCAATGAAGAAATAGAAAGTATAAGGGATGTAAATGAGAATGAATTTATAGGGATTATTGATGCAGGAGATCTAAAGGTGCTTGAAGAAGCTGGCAGTATATCAAATGAAGATTCACCTGTAAACAGTAGTGATGATGAAGATGCTCAAATAGATGTTGTGGAAGAGGTGAGGATCACTTTTGAGCTCAGACTTTCTTTATTAACTTACAACATTTGTGCTTCAGTATACTTGGGAACCAAGATCAATTACAATATTTCTGTGTTTTTGCGCTTTAAAATGAGACTTATTTGTATGTTGGGACTTAAACTTTTAACCTTAAACTGTAATTTAAATTAGTAATGTGTTTAGGAATTGTCTTATGTATTTGTTGTTCTTGATTAGAGGTAGTGGAAGGTTTAGGGGATGGAAGTGGAGGTTAAGAAGGTAGCCTGTGTAGAAGTATATAGTATCTGTTCTAGTTCTAATAAGTACACATCTGGGTGGAATATGGTAATTAAGGAGTACATATGAGTATTAGCTATCAGTTGTGGTGGATTTACATTACATATATATCATATAACACTAAATCTTTTCTGCCTTATTTAATAGTCCCAGTCCTGTGCATCTTATTACTATCCTTATTGTATTAATGAGAAAATTGAGATATGAGGAGTTTTAGTAACTTGCATAAGATCAGTCATATGATTATTAAGTAGCCAAGCTAGGATTAAAACTCAGCTGTTTGACTTTAAAGTATAATATAATTCTGCCTCTCTAAGCTCTTCATTTCTATATGTTTCTCTATCTTTAAAAAATTTGAAGCATCATGAAATTTCTTAATGTGATCATCTTTCATCTTTAGGATCCTTTAAATTCTGGAGATGATGTTAGTGAGCAGGATGTGCCAGACCTGTTTGACACAGATAATGTAATTGTCTGTCAGTATGATAAGGTACTGTATTCACCTTTTGGACTTTGAGTTTATTAATTGCATTTGGAATAGGAAGATTTTTTAAATGATGGAAAACATTATGGTGAGTTATAGTTAACTGTTTAATGAATTGCAAAATAGCTATTTAATTCTGTCAAGTTTTGATGGTGCATTTTGGGTCTAGTACTGTGCTGTATGGATGCTGTAGTACTAAAAAAAAAGCAATAGTCCTTGTCTTAAGGAGGTGACAGTCTTATTGAAACAAGGTATATCTTAGGGAATAATAGAATAACACACAATAAGATGGCAGGCAAACCAAAAGCTAAAATATGTGACAGGTAAACCAAATGCTAAGATGAGTGTTACATAAATCAAATGAGATATGTGGCAGACTGTGAGTCCTAAAAGTGGCTAGGAAATACAAGAAATCATTTGCAGTTTGAGTTCTCCACAAATCCTTCATGGATGACATGGAGCTTTGAAATGGGGTTTGAATGATTTATAGGATGTAGGTTAATATACAGTGTAGGCATTCAAAGTAGAATATCCTGAGAAAGGCCAAGAAATGAATAGTTGTAGTATGTACAAGGGACAGTGAAGAGACAGCTTTGGCTCTAGTAAGTATTCTTTTATTGGATGTACACTGAATGAAGCTGGGCTGGAAGACAGAGTAGGGAGCATGTTGAAATATCCTGAATGCTAGGTGGAGAAGTCTAAACTTGGTCTGAAGAACATTAGCCTTTTGAAAAGGCTATTGAAAAAATTGTAATTGAATTTAGAAACTGGCTATGTTTAATGATTTGGAAAAGGCTAATAGGAAGAAAAACAGGGATAGTATAGATATGAAGTAATTGAAGTTCAGATTAAGTAAAAAGTAAGATTAAGTAAAAAGACAGAAAAGCTAGAGGTTATGATAGAATCAGTGGGACTTTGTGTTAGATGAAGGTGCCTTTCAGGTTTTAAGCTGAGGAAATAAGTTAGTAACAGTTTTTCTTAAAAAAAAAGTTGTGATTATTATGTAACAGAATGGTAAGTTTTTGTCCTTAATTCATGAATATTTCTGTTTTTTAAAACTTGAGATATCATTAGTATACTGTAAATTTTACCTGTTTAGTATATGGTTCAGTGTTTTTAAAATATGTTCATGGATATGTACAACCATTAGCTTAGTCAATTTGAAAACTTTTCTGTATCTTCAGAAAACTTCTTAAAACTTTACGTCTTACTCTAATATCTACCTGTTGCCCCCACCTTGCCCCTTAGGCTGGGGGAACCACTGATCTACTTTGTTTCTATGAATTTTCCTGTTCTGGCATTTCATATGAAAGAATCATGTAACATGCAGTATTTTTTGACAGATTTCTTTTGCTTACTATGATGTTTTCAAGATTCATTCATATTGTAACATGTATCAAGACTCTTCATTTTTATTACTGATCAATAGTCTATTGAATGTATATACCACATTTTGTTTTTTAATCTGACAGTGGACCTTGGGTTTTTTGTTATTCAGCTTTTTGTCATTGTGATTAAAATACCTGACAAGAACAACTTAGAAGAGTAAAGATTCATTTTGGCTCACAGTTTTAGAGGTTTAGTCCACGGTTGGCTGTCTCCAAGACTGGAATATAATGGCAGAAGGTCATGGTGGAGGAAAGCTTCCCAGCTTATGGTGGCTGGGAAGGAGGGGGGTGGTGGTGGAGAGAGATAAAGGGGTAGGGGAGAAAAAGAGAGAGAAAGAAAGAGGAGAGAAGCTGGTCAGAGACAGATATATTCCCCAAGGTTGCATTTTTGTAGACATCACAGATCTAAACCATAATATCCTTCCCCTGGCCCCCAAAAGCTTGTGCCCATCTCACAAGGCAAAATACATTCATTTTATCTACAAGAGTCCCTATGGTCTTAATAGTTCCAGCATTGCTTAGAAGTCCAAGTCCAAAGTCTCCTTTGAGACTCAAGGCAGATCCTGTGAATCCCTATAAAAATAAAGAAAGAAAATTAAGTTACATGCTTCCAATATATAATGGCACAAAATAAACATCTCCACTCCAAAAGGGAGGAAAAGGAACATAGAAAGAAGGGACAAATAGTACCAAAGCAAGACTGGAACCCAACTAGGCACATATGAAGTCCTGCAGCTCCATGTCCAGCATCCAGGGCACATGGTGGTGAGACATGGGAAGCCCTACCTCCATGACCTCGATGGTTGCACCCATATGGCCTCTCTCTTGGGCTGGCTGTGCTTCTTGCCTGCAGCTTTCCCTCTGCCAGCAGTCCCCATTTCTGGTATCTCTTGATTCCTGGGGTCTCCACAGAAGCTTCAGCTTTACCCTAGTTGTCATGAGCTGAGCAGCTTTTCTTAGCCATGATTTTTCTGCCTTGAAGCCAGCCAACTATGGACTGAGAACATTGAAATCATGAGCTAAAAAAACTTTTCCTCTTCCAAATTGTTCTTGTCAGGTGTTTGGATAACAGTGATAAAAAGCTAACATAGTTGTTTTCCACTGTATAGGGAAAAAAGTAATCTCTTTCCTCATCCACCACTAGGATCATAGCTAAGACCCTATAATAAAAGAGAAAAGTGTACACATTTATTTTAGATAAGTTTTACATGGCACAGGAACCTTTAGAAACAAAGACACAAAGATAAAGGGAAAAGTATTTTTCTGGAGAATTGTGCAGAAGTGTGATTGGAGGAAATAGGGGTATGATATTGTAATTAATGGAGGGGAATTTTGTAAGGCCTGTTTGTTCAGATTCTTCTCTGTGTCCCTGTGTCTTCAGAGATGAATTAGTTTCTCCTGGGTGTAGGGAGGGCAACTCTGGCTTAAGTGTTTTGTAAAATATTCAGAAGAAGGTTTGAGAATTCTTTTATGGCCTGCTTAAGGGAAGAAGGGCAAGAGAAATGTCAGAGAGACTTTCTTGTTTTGACTGTTTTCTCAGATGCCAAGGTGCCATATTTTGGGTTAGGATGTCTTGAACCCCATCACCACCTTTTGGATATTATGAGTAATGCTGCTATAAACATTAATGCACAAGTTTTTGTGTAGGTATATATTTTTATCTGTCTTGACACCTAGGAGTTGATTTTCTGGATCACATGGTAATGGTTTATGGAACTACCAGGCTGTTTTCTAAAACAGCTATACTATTTTACATTCTTATCAGCAACATTTGAGGGTTTCAATATCTCTACATCCTTGCTAACACTTGTTATCTGACTTCAAGAACCTAGTCATCCAAGTGAGTATGAGATGGTATATCATTGCAGTTGTGATTTTCATTGCCTTGATATCTAATAGATATTTTACTCTTTTTTTTTTCTTTTTGGTACTAGGGATTGAACCCAGAGGTGCTTTATCACTGAGCCATACCCTCAACTCTATTTATTTTTCATTTTGAGGCAGGATCTTATTAAGTTGCTTAGCGCCTTGCTGCATTGTTGAGGCTACCCTCAAACTTGCCATCCTCCTGGCCCAGCCTCCTGTGTTGCTGGGATTACTATACCTGACCTATTTTTTAAAAAAAATCACAATTAGAATATACTTAAAGGAAACAAAGGATACCCTTTGTTGTGAATTTATTTTTAAAAATCATTTTCTATAAAAATGATAACCACTTTCTTATCTATAACATTTTATATAGATAGAAAATTTAGAATTTAGGCTGGGCACAGTGGCACATACCTGTAATCCCAGCGGCTTGGGAGGCTGAGGCAGGAGGATTGCAAGTTCAAAGTCAGCTTCAGCAACAGTGAGGCACTAAGCAACTCAGTGAGACCTTATTTCTAAATAAAATACAAAATAGGGCTGGGGATGTGGCTCAGTGGTTGAGTGCCCCTGAATTGAATCCCCAGTACCAGCCCCCCTCACCTGAAAAAGGCAATTTAAATGCTTGTAAATATAATTTAAGAGGGAGTAGGAGTAGAAAAGGGACAGTTCTTAGTTTGAAACTTCTTTTAGTTTCTTATAAATATTGTATTGACTTCTACAAAGAAAAGATTTTAAGGTATCTAATTATATATGCATTTTTAACGTCTCAAAATATTTCTAGAACATTATGAATATAGTGTTCTTTGCTACATTGTTGAAGAGAGTTTATAATTAATTACATAGTGCATTGTATTTTTCAAAGCGTTTACTCATACTTTGTGTTTTGCTTCTACTCCTTGTGGAGTAGATTGAGGTGATATTAGTTGTATTAACAAATCTAGTTGTCTGAGAGTACTCTCTAATTAGTGAATATTTTAAGAACGTTAATAGAAATCAGGGTATTGGGGAGCCATTGAAATATTTTTTAAAGGGAGTGATGAAGTCAGAAAATAGTAGCAAAAAGAATGTATCTATAAAGTCAAAATAGGGTGGAAAATATTGTTATAGTGAATTTTTATGAGGGAAAACTTGCCAGTTCTTGTCATGGGTTGATTTGCTTAGAATAGTATTGAATGGAATGAAACTCAAGTAAATTAAAAGAATCCTCAGTAGTCTTTTTTTTTTAAATATTGATTTTATTTTTTTAAATACACAGCAATGGAATACATTACAATTCTTATTACACATATAGAGCACAATCTTTCATATCTTTGTATATAAAGTATGTTCACACCAATTCATTTTTTATGCATGTACTTTGTTTTTTTTGCATTACAATTCTTATTACACTTATATACCACAATTTTTCATATTTCTGTTTGTATATAAAATAGGTTGACACCCAATTCATGTCTTCATACATGTACTTTGGATAATGATGTCCATCACATTCCACCATCCTTGCTAATTCCCTGCCTCCTCCCTTGCCCTCCTTCTCCTCTTCCCTATCTAGAATTCATCTATTCCTCCCATGTTCCCCCTCCCTACCCCACTGTGAATCAACCTCCTTATATCAGAGAAAACATTCGGCATTTGTTTTTTGGGGATTGGCTAAATTCACTTAGCATTATCTTCTCCAACGCCATCCACTTACCTGCAAATGCCACGATTTTATTCTCTTTTATTGCTGAGTAAAATTCCATTGTGTAT